CCCCAAAACCCCAAAACCCCAAAACCCCAAAACCCCAACACTCCATATTGCTGGACCTGCTGATGATGGAATGAGATAAAAACAAATGCAAATTAATATAAAGTTATAAATATGAAAATATATTAGCCACACATCTAGAAACTTCGCACTAGTCTTCTCACTAAGGCTCATCTTCTAACTCAGTCATCAAGATAACAGTTCAGCAGTGCAGAGGGAGAATAGGAGTAGCCTACTTTCTTTAAGGGACAGAATATACGTTATATTCCAAAGAAGAGACTTTAATTTGATTATGTATGCGCTGATGGTCCAATGCATTTAATCTTTTAAGCAAGTGAAGACAACTTAAAGAGAACATAGTCTTGGAAAATTTCAACAGCAGTTGCAGTACCAGCCACACTTTTGGCATACTTTACCTTAGGTGCTTCTTAGATGTTCGTCTACCCTATGTTATTCCTACCCACACTTTACAACCTATATGATTCTATAAGACTTAGAAAGCTATTCGGCTCGGAGTGTCATAAATTATGGCTTTACAAGAACGGAGATTAAGTGCTGATGCAGACCTTTGATGGAATGCTACACAAGATGAACATTATCGACATGAACTCTCACTAGCTTGTTGACAAGAAGGACTACTTGAACTTCATAGTCAACAACAGTGGCAGAGATTACCTCTTATCTAATAAAAACTGCGCAGCAATTGATTATGACTTGATTGATAGAATAATAAAGGGCATTCAGATTGACTCTAATAAGTTTCAGTCTCTCTACAACAGACTCATTTATAGACAGTAAGATTATTAGCTATTACCTAATAAATTTATTATAGAACTCCTTAGAACTTAAAACCATAAGAGTTTAATAGATTCTTGCCTTAGGCCCTTAATTTTAACGAAAACAGAACCATTTGGAAGATTCTTAACCGCACCATCTACCGTGAGGATTCTCGCAATTGGCTAAGAAATCAGAGTAATTTTACAACTGAACTCAGTAGGAAGAACATCACTCCCTAGGAAAGAGAGGTGATTAGGAAACTGATAAAGGATCATGGCATCAAATATCTCTACTCAGAGAAGCAGTTCTACAAAATACATAAAATGTCTAGAGCTGAGTTTCTCAAGAAATTAGATGCTTGCTAGACCTAAGAAGAGAAGGAAACAGTCATAATGGCTCTATATGAAGATCCCTTTATTCAAGGCAGAAGAGGAGTAGTAGATGTGGAAGAAGCAGTCAGAATCGTACATAGAAAGATTGAGGAAAGAGAGAAGTTCTTCAAGTTTTCAGAGAAATTTGCCAGAGGAATAGATCTCAGATAAGCATCCAGGTCTGGTACCTCATTTGCATCTCTAAAAGATCTAGTGTGATTTCTAAAATAATAAATGACGATCATGACAAGTAATTTAACTTATAAATAATAACTTCCATTTCTAACATTCATATTAACTTAATTGTTAAAGGAAAATATTGATATTAGTGCGCTTATTATTTATAAATCACTTTTCAATTACTTAGCTTTCTATCATTAAATGCTAGTAATATATTGGAAGCCTAAATTAATCACTATGCTATACTTTGACTGACAAAGGAAGGTTTGGTAAAGCTTTCATTATCAGTACTCATCAAGTATCTGTTCGGCGTTTCTTGCTATCTCGCTGGAGTAATAAATATACTACTGGTAGTGTTAACATCTTAAACTTTCTGGGATTTATCCTTAGTAGTATTCCACTTTATTCTTGCGCCATTTTCCCAAATACCAGATTTGCATTTACCTTTGGAGTTGGTGAACTTACCCTCACCATGTTGTTTACCGTTAGTCCAGTTACCATCGTAAATTCTACCGTCTGGCCATTTATAAACGCCTTAGCCATGCTTTTTATCATCAAGATAAAAGCCATCATAGATTCTGCCATCTGGCCACTAATACACACCTTTACCATGTAACTTGTTCTCTTTCCAAGTTCCTTCGTATATTCGCCCATCAGGCCACACATACTTGCCATGACCTTCTATGTTATTATTTACCCATACTCCTTCATAAAGACTCTTATCTCCCCATTTGTAAGTGCCCTGACCGTGCTTGCATCCTGACTTAAAATGCCCTTCGTAGTATGATCCATCTTCCCACTCCTCTCTTCCGAAACCATCTTTTAGGTCATCTTTCCATGATCCGATATACTTCGATCCATTCTTATGATAGTATGTTCCATAGCCGTTGGCTCTGTCATCCTTAAACTCTCCTTCATAAATGTCTCCATTCACATGAAAGAAAGTTCCTTTGCCATTCGCTTTTCCATCTCTCCACTCACCTTCATACTTTGCTCCATCCTTCCATACTTGCTTCCCTTTACCGTGCTTTACAACCTCATAGCCATTTGGTGCCTTTTTCATATAGCCAGTATATAAACTCTAATCAATAAGAGTGATCTCCTCAACATAGACCATATTTTTACTATCATACTAGGGATTCAGATCCCTACTTGTCAACTTCTTCGTACTATCACCAGGTTTTGTCATCGTGTTAGTATTGATATTATTATATTGAAAAGTTTGATTTGTTGAATTTACTTTCGACAACTTGTTTTTACTCTTTAACTAAGTATTTCCGATTGAGTTATTTCTAGATGATGAACTTAGTTTATGACTCACTCTTTAATTCCCTGACTTTCCTCTACTCTTTACTACAAATGAATCATCATCTTTTTCTTAGTAATAATTTGGATTGTCTATCGAAAATATCCCAGGAGGTTTCTTTATTTAATCAGAGTAGAAAGAATCTGGGGGAGGTTCGTTCTACCTCTGTATGTCTCTGATCGATATTTGCACTGATAAATCATCATTCCTTGACTCACTATATTCTGAATAAACATTTCTTGTAACTCCACACCATTCCTTCGCTCCCATGCAATTAGTATTGAAGACTTCATCTTAGTTAGTTTAGCAATTTGAGCAAGCCTATCCCATTAAATAAACTTTTATGCAATTGCAGAATAAAATTAATTCAATAGAACATTAATTAATCTTATAATGAATGATATTATGAGGAAAATATGTGATTCTAAGTTTAATCAAATTACACTCTAATTATAGCAAATTATTAATCACAAAAATAAGTAATTTAACTAAGAATTTAAAATGAAACTAGGAGACTCCTAAACTTTAATCAACAATAAAGCAGGGTCTAAAATTCAATAGAATCTAGACTTGGAGATAATGGAAGAGGATTCATCTTTGCGTAAGCAATGGAAAACTCAGACTATTCAGGATTATGCCAAGAATATCAAAGAACTAGATTTTAAGCAGTAATGTAATACTAAGGTGAGAAGAAGAATCGACAGAGACTATGAGAATCAGTATCTTAAAAGGAATAAAGAGTTAGGAGTTAATACAATCCTTGGTTATGATTTATATAAAAGGAATGAGTAAAAGATGAGCTTAGTACAAAACATATTGGCATCAAGTGGATTGACAAGTGTGTATATCATTAGTAGAGTGCCTAATCTTCACAGATATGTTAGGTTATCACTTTATTCTGGACTGGCTTTAACATTATACAAAGTGAACTAGACTTTTAGGGATGAAATGATAGACTAAAGTTTTAAAGAAATGACTTTAAAAAATTTGGAATACTAGGAATTGAAGCAGCTATATAGAGCTTATCAAATTAAAAAGTCAGAGATTGAAGAAGATAAGAAGGCACTGGCCAAGTATAAATACGATCCCTAGTCATATCATTGAGTATTTTAATCCTATATAATCTCATTGTAATGAAGTTGATTTGTAAATAATTTGTAATTGTTATATTCTTTAATGAATATTTTCTATTGGGGTTTTGGGGTTTTGGGGTTTTGGGG